CTTACATCATTTTCTTTTGATAGTAAGAAACAGGAAGAAAATGTACAAGTAAGATTCTTTTACTTACAACCCCTATACTTTTTAAAATTTAAAAAGAAAGTAGAGGAGGAGGAACTATATAAAGTTTTTACATAAAGATTCCCCAATGGAAACATTGTAGAAATGTTTCTGTTCCCTGGAGGAATAACAATAGGAGCTCCCCAGGCTTTCTGTAGGGAGGGCTGGGCCATGCCGCAGGCTTTGGTGCTTGGTGTGCCCCTCAAAGGTACCAGGTGGCCCCAGGGACTGGGAAATGCTCATCAAATGCCCAGTGCTCCTAACTGGCAGGCAGGGTGCCTTCTCCCTCCCATGCCCTCTGGTTCTTATATCCCAGCAATCCTCTTCTGTTTCACTGACTGAGCTCATTTCTTCCCCATGTTTCTTCTTGCCTTTCTATTCAAATGGGTTTTTTTGTCTTTGCAATAAACGGTCTACATCAACTCCATCGAGCTTTATAAGGTTTGATGAAATGAAGAAAATGTTATTTGCCAGATTTTCATGGGGACCTGCCCGGTGCTATTTACTCTGGAAGAGTAGAAGTGCGGGGCTAGACCTTATTTCCAGGATGTATGCACCAGGAAGGGTTATGTATGAGGCTTCGCTAGTGGGAGAGGGTGAAGATCAGGGTCTATGAGATGATGAAAGACTGGCCTCTCTGCGATGTCAGCTCTCCTTGTGCTGCTTTCAAATCTCTAAGGATTCCAGGTGTGACAAGTCATCTCTTCCTTGCTAACTTTGATGACAACCTGGCAACAAGGTCTTGGTTCTTGGGTTTATACACTGCTTAATGATAGATGTGTCTCTAGCTATCAATATGGGATGGGTGTGGAGTTGTCCCTCTATTCTTGTCTCATCTAGAACCTCCACAATATGTGTGTTAGTTTGGGGGGGAGAGTATGGATAGGGCCACTATATAACCAGTAACCCCCAGAAAAAAATCATAGGGCTTTGATAGTTGTGTATAAAATCCACTATTAAAGGATCAGGTAGCTCTCACGTGAATTCATATGGGAAGTTGAAAATTGCAGTCAATCAGTCCCTGATCCACCTATGGAAGTACTTTAAGACTTGGCTTATTAAATGACAGTGACCCTATGGATGTCTTCTTGATCTCTCTCTTTAATACCACTCTTTCCCTAAAACCCTTTAGGAGAAGGAGTTGCAGTTCATAAAATCCTTGTTGTACCCAGCAAACTTGGAGGCCTTGACCTTCTGGAGGTAGCTCACCAAGGCTGTCTTTGGTTCAGACATTGCAAGTTTTGCTAAAGTATAATTCTCAAAAGGTTAAAAAATGACTAATACAGCCCGTCTGGTGTGGCTCAGTGGTTGAGCCTCCACCTAGGATCCAGGAGATCACGCTTTGATTCCCGGTCAGGGCACATGCCCGGGTTGCGGCTCGATCCCCAGTAGGGGGTGTGCAGGAGGCAACNTGGGCGTGGCTCAGCAGTTGAGCGTCGACCTAGGATCCAGGCGATAGGGGTTCGATTCCCGGTCAGGGCACATGCCCGGGTTGCGGCTCGATCCCCAGTAGGGGGTGTGCAGGAGGCAACCGATCAATGACTCTCTCATCATTGATGTTTCTATCTCTCTCTCCCTCTCTCTTCCTCTCTCTGAAATCAGTAAAAACATATTTTTTTTTAAATTACCGATACAAACATAAAATTAATATGTATCAAATATCTTATTCAACTTATTAAGGGAGAAGTAAGACAGTAAAAGTAACCCAAAGAGCATTTGGGTGGGAGTGTGTGTGTGTGTGCGCAATTTAATAAAGAAATACTAGAATAAGATAGTTGGATACAAAACTGGTTCATAAACCATAAACTATAAATTAAGGGTTATCTTTTTCACTGCACAGAAGTTATTCATCTTCCTACCGGACAAAAATCCGTAAGCTAACGTGAGAACTTAAATCAGTAATAAACGCTGAATGCAACTAAGTTCATTTCCTCACATAACTTTTGGGTGGCTTTACCCTTGTGTGGCCCTGAAAGGATGTGCTGCCAACCTTTTCCCCTTATTCCTAGTTTTAAGTAAAATTTGCGGTAGTTCTTGGTGGAAGATGGTCAGCAGTCCTGTGAGTAATGGGGAAAATGGGCATTTGGTGCAGTGCAGTGGTCCTGCCAGAGAACAGCGGCTGGCTTCACCCAAATCAGCGCAACTCACCAAGGTGTGGTTACTTTTTCTCAGAAATTATACATTCTTAGAGTTTAGACTAAGTTTTACCTAAATCCAACAGGCAAGTGGAAGCCAAGAAATGTGTAGTTGAACGTGTTGTAAAAATTGTAATTTGGGAGGAATAGAGAGAAAAACAAATTGAAACTGTGCCTACTTCATCAAGTTGCTTAAGTAACCCAAAGGATTAAAGACATTATTTTTACAAACCCAAATGAAAACCCTAATGACCTTGAAATGAAGCAACTTAAAGAAAATAATTCACATTCCAAGGAGATACTAAAAAATATTAACATGACAGATGGATGAAAAAAACCATGACAAGGCCTAGAAAAATCCAGAAACTAAACATAAATTCCTGGAAAGATGTCAAGTTAACTCTGCTATCTTAAAAGCTCTTCAAATAAATCACTGTACAGCAACCCAAGACTAAGTACAGAGGCCAATGGAGGAAAATAACAGATATTAAATATTCCAGGTTTTTCTATGAGATTATATATTCTGTTTTTCTGAATAGATGAAAACTCTTTCACGGCGCGTCCTATTCTCCTCACTTTTTTCCTTGCAATATATGCAAAAATAAATGGTAAACATAGCAGGGCAAAGCAGTGACAGCTTGTCTCTGCTCCTCTTGGCATCAGCAGGGGCAACTGGAAGGAGAGCTGGCAACTGGAATCATCTGAAGGCCCACTTCCTCACGCGTCCACTCGATGGCTGCCCTCTGTGACCTCAGCTGGGTCCCTAATCCCTAGGCCTGAGGGCCTGCTTGGCTTCCTCACAGTGCGGTGGCTGGCTATGAATGGGGAGCATCCCAAGAGAGAGCCAGGTAGAAGCCCTTTGTGACTTACTGCCCTTCGTAACTTAGCTTCAGGAGCCATGCAGCATCACTTTTGCCAAAATTTACTGCTTCAAGGCATATCACTAGATTCCGCTATTCAATGAGAGAAGTGTCAAAGAATCTGAGAACACGTTTTAAAACCACAACAATGATGCCTTGGTGTTCATCTTTTTCCATTCACTATGCTGTGCTTCCTAACAGTGGTGAGAGTGGTGAGACCTCAATCTGGGAACATGTTTTTCAGTTTGGGAAAATTTGATTGGTGTGAAATCTTCCCATACTCTATTTTTTATGTTATTTCTTCACAGTATGCCTACTAGATGTTGGACCTTCTAAATCTATCCCTTAATTTTCGTATATCTTCTCTCCTATTTTCAATCTCTCTCTTTGTTCTAGTTTCAGAGAAATTTCTTCAACTTTATTTTTCAATCCTTTTATCATATTTTAAAACTTCTGCCAACTTCTTTTTCATTTCTAAGAGCTCTTTTAAGTCCTTTGTTCTGATTTTACGGTAGCTTGTTTTTGTTACACAGATACAGTAATTCCCAGTTCTCTTTGGACATCTATTAATTTAACTTTGTTATAAAAAGTTTACTCATATACAAACTTATAATAATATCCTGATCACCCCTCCTGCCATGTCCTCATCACCTCACTCCTTTGAAGTACTGAAAGGTAAGCAAAGCAAAATCTGTCATGCTGAAAACAAGGGGTTCAGTGAGAATCTGTATTCTGAAGCTGAAATCTCAGCCCTTTTCCCCCTCATGTATCAGAAGCCTAGTAGACACATGACCTTGTATTGGTTTTCTTGGGCTTCCATAACGATGTACCCCAATTTGGTTGGCTTAAAATAACATAAACTTATTCTACAGAGGATAGAAGTCCAAAACCAAGGCTTCCTCCTAGAGAGCTCTGAAGGAGAGTCCATTCCATGCCTCTCTCCTGGCTTCTGGTGGTTGCCAGCAATCCTTGCTATTCCTGGGCTTGTCAATGTGTCAATACAATTTCTGCCTCCATCGTAACCATGGCTTCCTCCCTGTGTGTCTTCTGTTTCCTCTGTTTTCTCTTCTTAGAAAAACAGGACACCAGTCACTGGATTAGGGCTCATCCTGATACAGTATGGCCTCATTATAACCAACTACAAAGACCTTAATTCAAAATAAGGTCACATTCTGGGATCCCAGGGGTCAGAACTTCAACATATTTTTTTCAGGACATAATTCAACACATAACACTCCCTGTTCTAGGAGACTGGGTGGTGGGCTTCACTGAATTAGTCCAAGCTCCTTCCAGGCCAAACAGCGCTGGTGCCCTGCCTTTCAAGTTTTCTATTTTTTTAAATCTAAATCTCTGGGCAAACATATTCAACAGTACTCTTTTCTGTGACTACTCTCACTCACATTAATATATTTCACCTTGAGTATGTACTTGAAAAAAAACATTAAAGCATTTCCTAGTGTTCCACCCCCAACTCACACAAGTCTTTAAAATGTGCCAATCAGGTTTTTAGTTCATTTTACAGGGATTTAGGAATGTAGTCACTTTCTAGTTTGTCTTTTTAAGCCTAAGCTGAAACTTGAAAGGAAACCAAAGTATAAAGATAACATTTCAATTACTTAGCAAATTACCTATTTTGTTAAGTATCCTTCATTTTCTCACACAAATATGTGGACACACATGTCTTATAATGGATTTCTTTAATGGCAGTCTTTGCCACTCTAGGCCAGGAATTTCGTGTGTGTGCATGAGTACATGGTGGCAGTGGTGGCCTCACAGATTTCACATCTTTCTCTTCATTTTATAATTAAAAGGCAAGTGCCATTGGGTGGGTAGAATTCTGAGAAAATAGCCTTCCAACATGAGCCAAATTTCTACTGCAGCTTTGTGAGTCCTGTGTCTATTGGGAAGTACCAGGTGGCTAAAGTGCTTGACTATATTTCCTCTGCAGATGTCACATCTTGTCACCAGCCACCTCCACCTCCGTGAGAATATCCTGCAGGCATTTGTTCCCTTTGAGCCGAGGCCCCTCTCCGAAGAGCCTTGCTGCAGGATAAAACATGCTTCGCACAAAGTCCATTCCTGATTCAGTGAGGGGGCATGAAAAACATTCTTCTCCAAGGTAAATAAATGATCTGAAAAATAAAGGATACAAAGATTTGCATTTTTCCCACTGGCTGCCTCTTATCAAAGCAAAGATTCTTATTGCTGAATCATTAACAACTGATGCTGGGCATTAGTTAATGTACTGAAGAGGAAAAAGGGAGAAATAATAAGTGTTTTGGTCTACAGACACAGGAGCCTTTGCATGCAAGGAAGTAAAAAAGCCTGGAGAAAGATGTAATTTTCTGTATTTCTGCACTCTCTGCCTGGGGCAGTGCAGCCCCTGTCTTTGAACGAGGTCAGGTGCATTGTGCGTGCCCACTGTTTGAAGAGCACTGAAAGATTCCTGGAGGGCGTGTATCCCCAGTAACAAATGGGTCTGTGGGGGTGGAGAAGGGACCCCACACAGGCTGTTTCTTTAATTCCCAAAAGTAGAAACCCTGCAGGCTCTTAACTAGCTGGGCTGGGTTAACACCTGCTCCAAGAAAGAATGTACTAGCTGTCTGGTCACAGGTAGCTGACTTCCTGATGGGCAGGACCGGAGGCCCTTCCATGGGGAATGTCTCTCTCTCCATCACTGGGAAATGGATAGTAGACAACTGTACAATATTTTTCAAGCTGAAAGGGCAGTAGGCACTAACATTCAAAGCACGTAGCAGGAAAAGAAAAAAGCTTGAAAATGTCAAATATGTACATATTTGTAAATTATATACAGTTGTCCATTTTTATATTTCAACATTACGTTTGGATATATAAATATTTTTATTAAGCAGCATAGGGCACTTGATGGAGGAATTAAGGAAATTTGAGATGAGGGGAGGAAATCAATCTGATGATTCATATTTATTGAGGCTTTTGGTGTTTGACCGCCAGAGAATGTGTGATTTGGGGAATACTTTAAGGATATGTCATGGTCCCTGCTTTTAAGCAGTTAGCAGAGTATCTTGGCGAACAGGACATATTCACATAACATTTCCAACAAATCAATAAGTACCAACTTGTAAAACATACCACAGTGTTAACAAAAGACATAAATGCTCAGGCTCTGTCAAGTGGAGAAACAATAGGAGTCAATCATGGTAGAGAATGTAGATCTTACTCCTGAGACTTGGTGTTGGAAGAAATGTCACTTGTTTACCATTTCAAATGAATTCATTCAGACTTTTATAATGATCAGAAGGCAGTGAGTTCACCTTTCTGCTCTGAACACATAGCAATGACAGATGAAATATTTAAAAGGCAGGAAGAGAGAGGAAGGGAGGGAAGAAGGAAGAAAGAAAAGAAAGAAAACCAGGAAGATACAGCCAGGCTCAGGTACAAGATAAAACCTCCATGGACCAGACACAAAAGGAAGGTGTAAATTGTGGGTTGTCTGGGCTATGGAAGTAGGCACCGGTGACTGGCAACTTGGTCCCTGTGGGACAAGGGGTTCTAAATGTAAAGGAGACTTGGAGCAGAGCCAGGCTTCCTGTTTGATGCCAGAGGCAGACAGGGCTCTCTGCTCTACTGGGACTATGGCTTCAGATGAAGCTGTAAGCCTGGGAAGACAAAGGGAAAAGACTAAGTGCTACGCTGCAGGAACTGAGCCAACTGCCTACACTCTGTAAGAGGACCTGCCACATGGTTCAGTGGCCCCTAGGGACAGTGCACCCCCAGTTGAATTGTAAAACCTGGTTCTGGTTTAAGAGTAGAAGGACTGGGTGTGGTAGAGAGAACCACCAAACTGTGAGGGAGGGAAATGTTTGGAGGGGACACTTGAAATGAGTCTGCAAACCAAAATTCCAAAGCATAGGAAGAAGGTCTGATTTCTGGAAGGACAGCCAAGAAACAAAAGACTCAGAAGAACAATTCACTCCAAATGAAATTCATTTTAGAAAACAGTCTGAAAAGATGCCAGCATAAATTTGTTGAGGTTGTTCAAAGACATATATAAAGACATTTATGACTAAAGAAGTAAATTATGGAACAGAACCAGGAAGAAATGAAATGAAAATGAAACAAATTAAATTACTTCCTGAGTTCCCATGTGGCTAGAAGGGCTGGGAATCCAACCTTGGTCATAATCAACTCTTTCACTTATTTGGGGAAGCAACCAAAAATCTCTGAGGCTTCCATAACATTATAAGATGAATGGCAGATCTCTATCATTAGCCCGTCCCGGGCATTGCTAATATCTTCAGTATCAGGGTCCTACAGTTTCCCATGATGACTTCGTTACTTGAGTTACAGGGGGAGGGGATCATGCATTAGCTGAGAGCCCCCCTGTCTAAGGTTGAGTCTTCCTAGCTTGTGTCCCCTCAGAAGTCATGTCACTGAACAGCATGACAGCAAGGAGGAGGACACTGATTTTACCACTCTCAGAACAGTCCTCTCACTTCTGTGTTTTAAATGCACAGGTGCACAGGCTCTACCCAGAAATTTTGATTCCCTAGATCTGGGTCAGGGCTTAGAAATTAGTGTTTCTAAGGAGCTCCCTTGTGATTCCTGGGCTGCAGACCCAGCAGTTGGTGAGCCCTGATATTGTTTACAGTCCTCATTTTTCAAATGATGAAACCAGGCAGGTCAGAGAGAACAATGCTTCCCAAGGTCACACAGCTAACTGTTGCCAGAATAAAACCCAATCTTTTCTTTAGCTTATTTAGAGTTTAACTCCTTCTTTTTCTAGTTTCTTAGGTAGAAGCTGAAGTCATTGAGATCTTTGTTTTATTTTAATATACGAGTTTAGCACTACAAATTTCCTCCCAAGTACTGCTTTAGAGGAATTCCAAAAATTATAATATGTTTTGTTTTCATTTTCATTCAAGTCAAAACACTTTCTAATTTCTCTTTGGAATTCTTCTTTGGCCCATGGGTAATGCAGAAGGGTGTTATTTATTTTCCAAATATTTGGAAATTGTCCAAACATCACCCTGTTACTGATTTTTATTTTAATTCCTTTGTGGTCAGAGAACACACTGTGTATGACTTGAATCCTTTTTAATTTATTGACACTAGCTTTATAGCCCAGAATATGGTCTTTCATGGCAAATGTTCTATGTGTCCTTGAGAAGAATGCATATTCTGCTATAGATGGATGGAATGTTCTATATGTGTCCATCAGGCCAAGTGGGTTTGGAGTGGTGGTAAAGTTTTCTTGTTGATTTTCTGCCCACTTGATCTATCAATTATTGAGAGAAGGGTGGTGAAATCTGCAATGATAATTATGTGTTTGTCTATTTCTTCTTGTAGTANTTTTCTTGTTGATTTTCTGCCCACTTGATCTATCAATTATTGAGAGAAGGTGGTGAAATCTCCAATGATAATTATGTGTTTGTCTATTTCTTCTCGTAGTTCTATCCATTTTGGCTTCATATATTTTGAAGGAAGTTCTGTTATTAGGTGTATAAGTGTTTTAAGATTGATATATTTTCTTGTTAAATTAACCCCTTTATCATTAAGAAATGGACATTTAAAAATCTTTGGTAATATTGTTTGTTGTGATATCTACTTTGTCTAATATTAATACAGTCAGATCACTTTCTTTTAACTAATATTGACGTGGCATCTCTTTCTACCCTTTTTCTCTTAACCTATTTGTCTTTATTTTTAAAGTGTGTTTTTTTAGAGACAGCATGTAGTTGGGTCTTGCTTGTTTTGCCAATCTGATCATCTCTACATTTTAATCAGAATGTTTAGTTTATTTTTATTTAAGGTGATGATAAATATGGTTAGGTTTAAAATCTACCATCTTATTATTTGTTTTCTACTTGTCCCTTTTTCATCTTTTCCTGTCTTCTCTTGGATTATGTTTTATGATCCCACTTTATCTCTTCTGTTCATTTATTTAAATAAATCTTTGTTTCATTTTGTAAGAAGCTTCTTTAGGGTTTATAGTATACATCTTTAACTTACAAAGTCTACCTTGAATTGCTATAATACCATTTCACATTTAAAAACCTTAAAAACATCATAGTTTTATTTTTTCCCCCTTCCAGGCTTTGTGCTGTTGTTCTCATATTTTGTACTTCTATCTGTATTTAAAACCCCAGATTACATTATTAGTTTTTGTCTAAGTAGTCAATTATTTATTAAAGATACATAAATAATAAGAAAAATATTGTATATTTTACCCATGTAGTTACCAATTCTGGGGCTTATCATTCCTTTGTGTAGATGCATATGTCTACCTAGTATCATTTTCCTTCTATCAAAAAGACTTTCCTTAATACCTGTTGTACTGCGGTTCTACTGGTAGTCTACAACTAAATTCTTTCCACCTTTGTATGACTGGGAGGAAAATCCTTTATTTTTGAAAGGTATTTTTTATCATGTAGAGAATCTTAGGTGGGCAATTTCTCTGTTAGTACTTTAAGAATATTTCTCCACTGTCATTTCACTTGCATTGTTTCCTATGAGAACTCTGTTGTCATCCTCTCCTTGTTCCTTTGTATGTAATATGTCTTTATTGCTTGGCTGTTTCTAAGATTTTATCTTTAGCACAGGTTTTGAGCAGTTTGATTATTATGTATTTAGTGAAGCTCTATTTCTGTTTCTTGTGCTTTTGATTCTTTGAGCTATTTGCATCTGTGGCTTCATAGTTTTCACAAAATTTGGAAAATTTTCATGTATTATCACTCAATATTTTTTCTGTCTCCTCTCAACTACCCCTTCAGGGACTACAATTTCACAAGTATTAGAATGCTTGAACTTTTTCCATAATCCACTGAAACTCTGTTCATTATTTTATTTTCTTTCCTCCTCTGTTTCATTTAGATAATTATTATTCCTATGTATTCAGGTCCATTATTCTTTTCTCCTGTAATGTTTAATCTGCCATTAATTCTACTCAGTATATTTCTCACCTCAAACATTCTAGTTTTCATCTTTAGAAGTTCAATTTGCATCTTTTTGTATCTTTCCTTTTTCTACTAACAATTTTTAGTCTTTCCTATAGCATTATGAACATGCAGATTATCGTTATAATAACTGATTTAAAGTCCTTGTCGGTAAACTTTACAATATGTGTAAGTTCTGGATTAT